GGATTCAGATTTCGGATTTTAAATTTGGAAATGAGGGTTGTAAACTTTTCATTCAACAACGCAAGAATTTTTTGTATAAATCCTGCGTTGGTTGCAAACCCCTTTCTCTCGTCAGTTCCCTTAAAAACCCTAGCCCAACAAAACCTCTCTCTCTCTCTCTCTCTCTCTCTCTCTCTCTCTCTATGTAGTTGTGATAAAAACAAAAACACAGAGATGGAGGAGTTTTTGTATACTGATATCGAATCTTTATGTGCAAAACTCAGGTATCAAGAAAAGCAGCTCAAACTCAAAAGAAGGTCATTGCTTTTTTTAATTTTTTTTCCTCCAATTTTATTTCTTCAAATTATATGATTACATGCTCTCAAAACCCAACTATATGTATGTATGTATGTTTGTGCTTGTATCTATTTCTTTTAGTCAATTTAACTGCTTCTTGCCATCAATTTATAGAATTATGCAGGAAATTCTGCTTTAATTTCTTCGTATTCATTTTGTTCCAAACTAGTAATCTTCACCTGGCCAATTTTTTCGTCTTTTTCAATACACTCTTAGCCAGAAGATGTAGTGGAATTTTGAAATATTGAAATCTTGAGACATAATCTTGTGTTTGGAAATGTATTGGGAATATAGGGCAAAATTTTAGAACAAAAGTAGGAATAGCAATGAAGTAGAGTGGGATTGGATTTGTGGTGTTCTATTCCTACACCATTCCTAGTTGGGGCAATACTACTGGCCTTGGCTCATTATTAGGATCCTTGGGCTATCTCCAATGGAGATGCTGAGCACACTACACACAGATTTATACAAGTATACACACCACACGTTTGGCCATAAGCTAATACACCTAAAAAATCAAAATTTTATATGTACTAGGGTAATACACCTAAAAAATCAAAATTTTATATATACTAGGGTAATACACCTAAAAAATCAAAATTTTATATATACTAGGGTAATACACCTAAAAAATCAAAATTTTATATAAATCAAAATTTTATATATACACCTAAAAAATCAAAATTCTAAAAATCAAATTTTTGTAAATGCATAGCCGTATGTCTTGTGAGCATAAAATTGAAAATTAGATACGGTAGTTCATGTCTCATAAAATGAACCCATATATATATATATATATACATACTAGGCAGGGAGGCCATGGCCTTCCATGGCTTGTGTGCATGTGGTACTCACCCTGATGGACTTTCAGGATGGTATAGAGTTTGAGTTGGAAGTAGAGAGAGTTTGAATTGAAAATAGCAAGTTCACAAGAAATAAAGTTCAAATTGGAAGTACAGAGAGTTTACCATTGCTTTGTTAGTTTGGCCAAATGATGCCTTTGGCCTTCAAATCTTCAATTAATAGTCTAGATATATATACAAATATCAGCAATCCAATGGTGTGGAAACTATCTAATTCTTCCATTTTATAACCAAATGATTGCCTATTATGTATTTTAATTAATAGTCTACATATGTATAAATTTCAATGATCTAGTAGTATGAAAGCTATCTACATCCTTCCACCACCTTATGATGAATAAATTCTACAATTATCTACCTACGTATAGGGATTTCTACAAAATTTTACATAAATCTAAAATTGAATTCGTAACTCAAATATTTAATAAAATTCCCAAGTTGTGACATTATTCCCCACCTAATATGACCACATCCTTAACGCAAATTCCTCGTGAAAGCTTTCAATCTTCTCTTCGAATTGATGCAAGAGTTTTGCTAACTCGCTAACTCTCAACTTGTCAATTTCAAGTAGTGCATCTATTTTACTTGGTATTTTTAACACATCATTGGAGTTCCTAGTGATTCCAAACCTTTAAAATATCCAAATTCAACCTTTTAAATCTCCACATTCAAGACGTATTAGTAGTATAATTTTCTCTCAATAAATGCAAATTATACAGACAGCATTTTTAAGCAAGAGACTATCTTATTTACGATTGACCCATATAAACACTAGCTTTATAGTCAGTCAGCGAAGAGATGAGACATAAGCAAAAGAGTGGACTCTATGATTTCTTCTTCTGCTTCTTCTTCCCTTAATCCCACTGTCCCACTGTCCACTACGTTGGGATTGATCTCTCATATTAGTCAGTCATTACGGTCGGATACCAATCCAAATATATATATATATATATTTAAAAACAAAGGACAACAATGAGTTGCTTGGAGTTTTTGGTGATTGAACATCACATTGTTGTCCTCGAACCCCCTACGGCCATTGATGGACACTTGGACTTCATAATTTTCTGAGACTTTACCTGTTGAGTGATCAACATGGAATTAATATGCCAAATGACCGAGGAATGGAGGGGCATATTTTAGAAGATTTAATTTTAATTTCTACATTTGGATTTTAAATTTGTCAATAGAAAAAAAAGAAAAAACAAGATAAAAAAGTTCATAATTCTAAAAGTTTGGGAATAACAAATGCCTTCAAATAATAATATAATAGGTTTGAGAAAACTTCACAACAAACTTAACATATTTTTCCTTGTATTTTAATTACATTTTTTTTAGTACATAAAAAGAAAATTATAAATATGTGCAAGAAAGATCCTCAAAACAAATATAAAAAGAAAAAGCCCACATCTAATAAGGGAATCAAACCTTTTTTGAAGAAAGGAAAATCCTATAATTCAGAGCCTCTAGATATAGAAGTCTGGCCCGTTTGGACCAAGCCCTACAATAAGCCCACAATTTTCTTGTATGAGCCCACAGCGTAGCCCAACCCATTACGTCGTATGCAATAACAACACATCTATATCGAGTTATTCAAGCCTAGATATATGGACAATGCTACCATATGCACCTGCCACAAAATGTGTAATCCTATTACAAATTGACATAACAAAAAATGCCGCAACAAAATCATAAACTTTTACATCATGCATAACCTAACTACAAATTGGCATAATAAAAAATATCATAACTAAGCCAAACACTTTTACATCATTAACCACAAAATTTTGGACATTTTATTATGCTAATTTGTAACGAGATAATACATTTTGTTACTGTTGTTACACAATTTTATGGTAAAACCATATTTTTGTGATAGAGTGCAACCCTTTAGGGCCAGATATATAGATACTAGGGTAAAATGCCCATGCCTTGCACGGGATTATAGGTACTATTGTGATAAATTTAAATTTAAGAAATACACACATTGTAATAGAGTTCAGAAATTTTTAAAAAAAAAATGAGCTTTTATTTTTGTCTTCATCTATTTTTGATTTTTTTAAGATTTTAATTAAAAATCTATTTATTTTGATGCACCTAATATAAATATACTTAAAATTTTAATATTTATGAGAAGTCTGAAAAAAATTTCACTAAAAAATAAAAAATATGAAAAACTGCTTATTTTTTCTTCTTTTTGTTTTTTTTTTTTAGTAAGCTTTTTTTTTCTTTTTTTCTTTGTTTGTTGTTAATTTTGGCTAGTACTTTGTTCGGTGGTACTGTATGGGTGTGCATATGTGATGTCAAACTTGGGTTATAAATTGATGTTAAAGAAATCAAATGTTGTTATTAAAATGTGCTAATTTTCCCGTCTTCTCTAATAAGATCAAAATTTCGTTTCCGTACGTTCTTTCGGTTAGGTTGGAAATGAAAATAGAATTGGAAACTTTTCAAACTTTTCAAAAACATGAGAAATAACAAAAGGATTTGAAAGTGTATGAAAATATTTAGGGAAAAAAAAAACTTTTATTGATGTTAATAAATTCTCAATAGTTAATTACTTGAACATAAATTCTCAAAAGACTCATGCCTAAAGGCACTCCTGTGCAATATATGTAGTGTTTGCTCTCAAATGTGCTTACTTTATTATTTTGAAATAATTGAGTTACTTTGAATGCAAAGTGTAGGTATGGAGGTTGTGAGCATTATGTTCTATTGGGGTGGAAAGATTTTGCGCAATCGCGATGAAGGTGTGTCGTACGACACCGAACCTCAGGGGTTGTATAATGTGCACAGGGGGATAACATTGGGCGAGTTGGAGGCGATGATGGTGCCGAAGGTTGGTATGCATAGGGAAATAATGCGATTAGAGTTTAAATGTAGACTCCTATGTCGGGGGAAGTATAGGTTGCTGCCAATCAAAGATAATGAGACCTTAAGTAATGTCTTAGAGCTCTCACATAAATTAGGCCCTGATTAGTTTTTGGAAATCTATGTGGAGAAGGAGAGCAATTTTGGTGGCACAGAGATGCCAATTCCGGTGGGTGGGACATTCACTCAAATGTTGACACAATCGCAATCCCCTGACAATACACTTATACAGTCTGCACACATGTTCCCTGAAGATTACCCTCCATTCAATCATTCTCAGAGTTACAATCAATTAAATGCATCACAGAACGTAGATGGTTATTATAGTGCCGGAGCAGGTCCAAGTGCTCCGACAACGTATAATCCGATGGTTCTTACAACCCCATATCCCCACTGGAATGAAGAATGTCCACCGATTTGTAATGTTCAACGTACAACAGAGACGGCTATCCAAAATTATGCATCCTCTGATGATACAATGCCATTGTTTGACGAGGTTGGAGTAAGTGATGAAGATTCCGTGGAAGATGTGGATGGCGCATGGGAAGGTGCAGACAATGACTCCGGTGATGACGAAGTTGGAGGGCATCATGATATGCAGGAGGTACACACAAATGTCCATATCCCTTTCTACCATAATTTGCATTTCGACAATGATGGTTCCATCACTAGCCATGATGTTGTCGAACGTTGGCCATTGTGGGACTTCGAAACTGCTCATTTGGAGAAAGGAATGATATTTACTGATAAGAAAATACTAGTGCACGCTGTTCAGTTGTATAACCTGAAGCGCAATCGAGAATGCAAGATCGTACAATCCAAAGGAAACAGTTGGGTGGCCGAGTGCAAGCACGGGTGCAACTAGAGGGTTCGAGCAACAAAGTTGAAAGACAAAGATTTCTTTCAAATTAGAAGGTTTGAAGCACCGCATCAGTGTGTGTACCCTAGAATGAATAGGGACAATTGCAACCTCAAGTCCGAGGTCATTGCTCATTTCATCAAGGCACAAATTGCGGTAAGTGCCATGGTAGATAGATTATTGTTTTTAGATTTCATTATGATTGTAATGTATTCAAATATAATTTATATTTGCAGATATCACCAGAATTGCCTCTTGCTACCATAATTGAGGTCGTGAAGGAGAAGTTTCAATTCACTATATCATATAAGAAAGCGTGGCTTGCAAGGACGAAGGCAGTTGCAATGGTGTTTGGTGACTGGGACGAGTCGTACCGAAGGTTGCCTAGATATATGGCTGCATTGCAGTCATTCAATCCAGGCACAGTTGTCATGTGGGACATGATTCCGAATTTGCACTCTACCTCAATCGGAACTGAAATGTACATGAACTATGTGTTCTGGGCATTTAAACCTGCAATAGAAGGCTTCAAGTATTGTCGTCCAGTGATATGCATTGACGGCACACACTTGTACGGGAAATACGAAGGGAAAATTGTTGCGGCCACTGCAGTGACTGCTGCGAACAAGATTGTACCTCTTGCTTTTGCCATTGTTGACAAGGAGATGATCGAGAGTTGGGGTTGGTTCATTACTCTGCTAAGGCGACATGTGTGCCGTGACCGAGAGGGGGTCACATTGATATCCAATCGACACACAGCTTTGCTTAGTGTCCTGTCAAGAATTTGGGACAATCCAGAAGTTCAACCAAGAGGGTACCATAGGTATTGCTTGCGACACGTATGTAGCAATTTCAATGAAAGATTCGGCAATACAGTAGCGAAGGATCTTGTGTGGAGAGTTGGTTCTGCACGGCAAGTGCGGAAGTTTAACAAGATTATGGACGATATCTACAAGCTCGAGAAGAATGCTGAACGGCAGTTTAGACGGATGAACCCTATTCATTGGACATTGTGCCATGATGGTGGTTGTCGTTGGGGCATATTGACGAAAAACCATATAGAGGGCTTCAATGGCGTACTGAAAGGCGCACGCAGTGTTCCCATTACAGCATCAGTTGAGATCACTTTTTATCGGATTGTGAAATATTTTGGCGAAGGCAGGACCATTGCTAAAAATGCAAGTAATCGGGGTCACTTGTACACGACTAATGTTCAACGATGGATTGATGAGCACCAAGCTAAAGCGAATGTGCATATGTTGGTACCGATTAATAGGTAATTTTTATTGGATGCACCGAATTCACTACACTTTAACATTTCACACTCGTCGATCATTGATGTGGTGTCGTAATTTTAACATATATGCATATTAATCCACGTACATGCATTTTTCCTGCAGGGGAATAAGGGAATATGAGGTGAGGACAGCACCGCATGGGATGGGGGGTGGTGCTCGTCAAATAGTTAGTCTCCGACCACCGAGTTGTTCATGTGGGAAGTACACATTATTTCACTTGCCATGTTCCCACATGCTTGCTGTGACAGCAGACTTGGGCGAGGACCCTTTTCCTTTCATTGCACCAGAGTATAGGTTGGAAGTCCATAAGTGTATCTTCGCGCAGAAGTTTAGGCCCATGCCGCACGAGCAATATTGGCCTGACAATGATTACCCAACTTTGCTTGCTATTCCAGCTTGACAACGTGAAGTTAAAACGGGTCGTCCTCAACGTAGCCGCATACACAATGAAATGGATACTTCCAGACAAAGTGGATTGCACCATTGTAGTTTTTGTTTGCAAAGAGGGCATGATAAGAGAAAATGTCCAGCGAGAATCCGATCGATTCGACAGTAGTTGTTTGTCTTCTTTATATATTAGTTCCACGCTACTTTCTTTGAATTGGAGTCAATGTAATATAAATTGATAATGTATTTACGACTTCAATTACTAATGACATAGATTTGGTCAAATGTGGCAAATCTCTTTAATTGCTTTAGTTGTTGCAAGTGTCCTTTGTGCACTGGACTGTGCAGACTTTGGTGCGTTGATGGTCGATTGTGTCCTGACCTCGGTGGACACGAGTTTATCTAATGTTAGAAAAATGCAAATATTCACAGAATGACTTGATAATCACCAATATAAATGCAGTTTATATTGAATGTGTGTTTTGCCACATTTTGTTATGTGGGAAACTAATTTTTTTTTCCAAAATCCATTACATGGGTGAAGGCCCATTTTATGAATTCAATCATTTCTCGGACATTTACATCCTATAACTCAAATACAAAGTAAAGAGGGTGCAAACAAGATGATAAACAACTACCAACATCCACGGACACATGTCCGGATCACTGTACAACAAGGGTAAACCCGGGATCGCTATATATATGGCTGCATTGCAGGCATTCAATCCAGGCATAGTTGTCATGTGGGACATGATTCCGAATTTGCACTCTACCTCAATCGGAACTGAAATGTACATGAACTATGTGTTCTGGGCATTTAAACCTGCAATAGAAGTCTTCAAGTTTTGTCATCCAGTGATATGCATTGACGGCACACACTTGTACGGGAAATACGAAGGGAAGATTGTTGCGGCCACTGCAGTGACTACTGCAGACAAGATTGTACCTCTTGCCTTTGCCGTTGTTGACAAGGAGATGATCGAGAGTTGGGGTTGGTTCATTACTCTGCTTAGGCGACATGTGTGCCGTGACCGAGAGGGGGTCACATTGATATCCGATCGACACACAGCTTTGCCTAGTGTCGTGTCAAGAATTTGGGACAATCCAGCAGTTCAACCAAGAGGATACCATAGGTATTGCTTGCGACACGTATGTAGCAATTTCAATGAAAGATTCGGCAATACAGTAGCGAAGGATCTTGTGTGGAGAGCTGGTTCTGCACGGCAAGTGCGGAAGTTTAACAAGATTATGGACGATATCTACAAGCTCGAGAAGAATGCTGAACGGTGGTTTAGCGGATGGACCCTATTCATTGGACATTGTGCCATGATGGTGGTTGTCGTTGGGGCATATTGACGACAAACCATATAGAGGGCTTCAATGGTATACTGAAAGGCGTACGCAGTGTTCCCATTGCAGCATCAGTTGAGATAACTTTTTATCGACTCGTGAAATATTTTGACGAGGGCAGGACCATTGTTGAAAATGCGAGCCATTGGGGTCACTTGTACACGGCTAATGTTCAACGATGGATTGACGAGCACCAAGCTAAAGCGAATGTGCATATGTTGGTACCGATTAATAGGTAATTTTTATTGGATGCACCGAATTCACTACACATTAACATTTTGCACTCGTCGATCATTGATGTTAGTCAATATTTAAACATATATGCATATTAATCCACGTACATACATTTTTCCTGCAGGGGAATAGGGGAATATGAGGTGAGGACAGCACCGCATGGGATGGGGGGTGGTGCTCGTCAAATAGTTAGTCTCTGACCACCGAGTTGTTCATGTGGGAAGTACACATTATTTCACTTGCCATGTTCCCACATGCTTGTTGTGACAGCAGATTTGGGCGAGGACCCTTTTCCTTTCGTTGCACCAGAGTATAGGTTGGAAGTCCACAAACGTATCTTCGCGCAAAAGTTTTTGGCCTGACAATGATTACCCAACTTTGCTTGCGATTCCAGCTCGACAACGTGAAGTTAAAACGGGTCGTCCTCAACATAGCCGCATACACAACGAAATGGATACTTCCAGACAAAATGGATTGCACCATTGTAGTTTCTGTTTGCAAAGAGGGCATGATAAGAGAAAATGTCCAGCGAGAATCCGATCGATTCGACAGTAGTTGTTTGTCTTCTTTACATATTAGTTCCACGCTACTTTCTTTGAATTGGAGTCAATGTAATATTCAATGAATCAGTATTCAGTAAATTCATAATGTATTTACGACTTCAATTAGTAATGACATAGATTTGGTCATTAGTAACAAATCTCTTCAATTGCTTTAGTTGTTGCAAGTGTCCTTTGTGCACTGGATTGTGCAGACTTTGGTGCATTGATGGTCAATTGTGTCCTGACCTCGATGGACACCAGTTTATCTAATGTTAGAAAAATGCAAATATTCACAGAATGAATTGATAATCACAAATATAAATGCAGTTTATATTCAATGTGTGTTTTGCCACATTTTGTTATGAGGGAAACTAATTTTTTTTTCCAAAATCCATTACGTGGGTGAAGGCCCATTTTATGAATTCAATCATTTCTCGGACATTTACTACGTATTCGTATATGCTTAGTTCTTGTAAAAAGTTTGACTAATGTATTTCAAATCTACATAAAACCCTTTTCAAACTTTCGTCCTTCTTTCCTGTCCAAATGACAACTCCTTTAAAGTGAAAGCACGTTTTTTCATGTCATGCAGGTTGACGTGACAACACACTGACAATAACTTTAATCACATAGGTACCATGTGAACCTTATCTCCTATGACAATAATGTCAAATGAATTACTAATCACCAATATAAATGCATGCCATATTTAATGTGTTGCCACATTTTGTTACGTCATTAATTGTTTTTTTAGTTTCCAAAAATTCATTATGTGAGGGAAGACCATTTTATCAATTCAATCATGTGTTTTAAATTTAGTACATATTGGTAAATGCTTAGTTGTTCTAAAAAGTTTGAGTAGTGGATTTGAAATCTACTTAAAGCATGGGTTTTCATGTCATAAAGCTTGACGTGACAACGCACTGACAATATCTTTAAACTCACAGGTACCATGTGTACCTTATCTCCTATCACAATAATGTGAAATGAATTATTAATCAACAATATAAATGCATGTAATATTCAATGCGTAGCCACATTTTGTTAGGTGGTGAACTGTTTTTTAGTTATCAAGAAATTTTTCCAGGCAACCATTTCTTTTTGTTTTCCCTAACTTGTTGCAGTTTGTATACCTGTGATATACTGTCAGGTCGTATTCTAATTTTGTCAGCATATGTATGTACTATTGTCAAAGTTCTTGTTATCGGATATCCATTTCATATATGAAAACTTGTGCAAGTCTATGACTCATTTAGCAGAGGAGATCCCATTATTGACTCATCAGCATCGAGCCGATATGATATGGCGTCAGTCGGTATGAATTATTTACTTATAATCGATATTTGAATACTACACAAACACTGTAGTTGTTACATAATATAATGTGAAACTATAAATGTTTATCCATGGATCATCCTATTTGGACATTTCAATGGCTTAGACAAATTTCCCCAAGTGTAAACGTTAGTCCATAGAGAGAGAACGAAGAAGATTATATTAAATGGACCGCTAGCTTAACCAAAAAAAAAAATGGTTAAAAAGTTGATAATCATCAAGTTTAACAATTACCCCAAGTTCATGCTTACGATGAAATAAAGGACTTTTAAATACAATTCCTAAAATAAAAGAAGAAATAAATATCACAAACAAAATTCTTTTTTATAGAGGTTGAATTCATAATCTTATAGCACAAAATAATATTATATAATCATTAAATTAGAAGTCCTGGTTCATCACCCATTACCTACTCAAAAAAATTATTAAATAATCCAATTTCAGCGACTCATAGTACCATCTGTAACGCCCTCAAAATAAGACAAGCATTTACATATAAACTAACCACATTCCTTTATTTCATTGAGTTTCGTTACATAAGTATTACATGTTAACATCAAAACAAAATGCCCTACGGGCTTACAGCTTTCCAAGTTAACACTTGGTTTCAACAAAAGAGTACTATGGTTTTTGGAATTCATGGTACGAACTATTTTCACACTATTAACCCACATTGACTTTTTCAATTTTTATGAGACGATTTTTAGTATAATTTACAAGAATTGTTTGTAGTTTTTTATTTTTTAACTATAATTTCAGAGTTGCGTATTGGCCTGTTGGTGCAACTTTTATTTTTAAAAAGTTGAAAAAGTTAATTACCATAATGTTAGTGAAATAATGCTTTCGGCGTCTTTTTTATTACTAACCTTTAACTTACAATAAACTGTACCAAATAAACACATGAAGGGGTTCGTTTGGGATGTGGGTTGACTTTTTGGCTTTTTAACTTTTTGGCTATTTTAGCCTAGGGCTAAAAAGCCTCACTTGGGATAGGCTTTTTGGCTTTTGTAAAAGATAAAATGAAATGAATATTGTTTAGATGTAACATTTTGTGTTATTGGCTTTTTAGTCTATTTTGTCTTTTTGCCATGGCGAACGAAGGACCAGTTGTTTATTCCTTCTCTTCTACCTAGTTAATAGAGTGAGTCAACATTATTTCTTGTAAAAAATTTCATCACGTATGTAGTTAGGAACATTAAATAAATAACACCACATGATACTCTTGGATGACTCAATAATTATCCTTGCTAGCTGGCTAATTATGTAGTACTCTAGGAGAAAAATATGTTGATTCACTTTTGTTAAATAATTAAGAAATAATAAATAATTCACTTAATATGTTATGATTTCTCATTTGTTTATTCGTCTGTGAAGCGTTTTGCCAATTCCGAATAACATAATCTTGTACTTGTTAGCGATTTCTTATTTTATATTTTCACTGTCCTAAAAATTATATAAAATAAGAACACAAACAATTTCAATTATTGACAAAGTGACTATTTTAGCTTGTTCGTTTACTTAAATAACTTTTAACTTATTTCATACTACAACA